GCAATGGCGTGGCAGTGCCTCCTTAACTAGGGCTTAATCCTGGCTAGAGTGGCTGTTAAGGTAATGAATACGCTTGCAAACTCGGTACCTTTAGAATGAAGTTTCTCTGCTATTAGTTTTATATATACGAAGGCTCGAAATCGCCTTATACCCGTGCACGCGGATATATAGGCCTTTATTTTCATAAACGACCGCGTATTAGACCGCATTAAAGATTAAAAGTACGCGTATAAAAAGCGGTAGGTGGATCTTAAGGAGAAAGATTGGCTAGAACTTAAAGATTTGTACCTCGAGTTGTTTATGAACGCGCAGGGTAGGAAGGTCTGGATGGATAGTGTGATGGCCTCTACTAATAGAGATTTCGAGTGGGAAGGTATATTATAGTCGATAGGTGATATATTGGGGGTTGGTACTAAAGTGGAATTAGTGGTTGGAGACTAGAGTGATAGGAAACTAGGACTATATGAATGCTCGTACTTAATTATTACCTAAAAAGGAAGGAAGAAATTTATATGGTATGATTTTGTATGTATAGAAAAGTTGTATGTATGTATAGGTGCTAAAATATAGTATATCTGTATGTACGTGTATAGAAGTATATATTACTACCTAGAACTAGGGGCAGCGCGTCCGTAATTACTATTTATAATTAAGTAAATTAATAATATTAAAAGAAAAAAAGAGAAAAAAAGTTTATATTATATTATAAAGTAAAATAAAATTAAAATAAAAATTAAAGTAATTATTAATTATACCGAAATATACCGTATTGCGGGGTGATAATAGTAAGCTGGTTAAATTACTATAGTTAGCTTATTGAATTTGCCTTCTTTGTATTCTCTTTGTTCTTTATAATCCTCCCCTATTATCCTTTTTAATTTATATCTATATAGACTACGATAGGAATATACCTCAGTAAGATCTTATTATTTAGGTCTAGACCTCCACGAAATATAATATTACGTATCCGCTAACTTCTATATCGCTCCGAAAGGCATTAGCGGGCCCTATAGGGGGCCGGTCTCCTATATACTAGACCACTTTATGTATTAAACCCTTAATGCCCTGGCTCACCTTATGTACTAACCCTCTATATATTAGCCTTTCTAATGGGATACCGCATTATATTTATGTATATAGTATACTGATTGCGAATCCTAAAATTAATGAGATATGACCGAGAATATAAAATCCTGGTCCTATGTTAGCTAGTTTAGTCATAGAACGATTATAATCGGCTAGGAATAAGGCCTCTGTTAGTCGTAAAAACTCGTAAAGCCCCGGGAAAATGGATCGGGCTATATATTCCGATTGGAATTTATTTTCCTTAAGAAGTTATTGTAAGATCTGGATGAGGCCCTTATGGGAAAATAGGGAAATATTACCGGCAAAAAAGGATATTTTGATAACTTTTAGGAAAATGTCTAGATTGTTGTATTAGGAGTAGTAATAGTTGTTAGTCTGCGGTGTAGCAAAACGGAGAAGGCTCCTTCGTATAACATATGTTAGGTTTAGGTTCAGGTTCTATTCCTACTCGGTTTTAGCCGCTATTACCCGGCAGCTATGCCCGGTCAATAGGCCCTGGCTGACGGCCGAAGTGTCTATCTTGTGGGCACCCCACTTCGCCTTCTTGTTAAAATAAGGCCAGCCGCCCCTAGGATTCCTGCCATATCTACTCTACTTCGCTAAGTATATATCTCTCTCTGTTGAAGAGTCCCTTTGTTTTTGTCTAATATGTGTTTCTTCTAGAATTTCTATCTGTCGTTTTTTGAAGTATCCTGATTTATGCTCCTATATTCCGGCTCTGTCGGTGTCGAACGACGCTATGTATGCGACTATAATACCTATAGTCTCCCCCTGGCCGTCGGCTTTGTCTGTTTATTGGTCTTCCTTGTGCCCCCTAGGATTCTATGTATACCCTATATTCCGTGCGTTCTTATTATTATTGCCTCCTGCTAGGTTCCTATGTGGCTATATATTTGTTCTATATGTGTAACCGCTGGGCGATGCCGATTATAGCTACCGCTAATCGCTTCCCGTAATATAATGCTCCGCTCGTTTTGATACGCTGAATTACTGAGTATATGGGCCTCTACGTAGCCTCCTTAGACTCTGGTTGGCCGAGTAGTAAAAGGAGGCTAGTCTTTTATTACCCTATTTAGGGGGGGGAGGGGCGATAGTGGGCAATTCTGTCTAGAATCTATGATATTTTGCGGCCTTATCTACGTGGTATGCTAGATATCTAGTGGTCGGTTGTATGGAGGGTGATATACCGTTCTGTTCTGTATGTCGGCGTGGTAGGACGTCGTAAATGTTGTCGAGGTGATAGGTAGAATAGCGAAGCGCTGGAGACCTATATGTGACTATGTGTTTATTTGTGTGAAGGGGATAGTAATATTGGAAATATTTGGGCTCCGTCGTCGTACCATAGGTGGTGCGTATTGGCCAGCTAAGGTGGCTATTATCGGCGGTTGCGTGGTTTTCCGTGATATACTCGTAGATTTCGCGCTCCTTTTCCTGCCTATGGTCGCAACGAGACCTCTAGGGAGACCAAAGCACCGCGGGGGAAGATACTATGATCCGTTAAAGCCCATTGCAACCGCAGGCAGGAGTATTATATTCCTTGAGTGGCTATTGTTTTAAAAATCCGTTCTCGCTGGTATGAAAAAGTTTTTAAAGTTCTAATATATATTAATATTACGAATAAAGGCCTCCGTTAGGCCGTAGGAAGTCACGTGCTAAGTGGATGGGCGTATCTACTTGGGCGTCTAATAGGAATTGACTTTACTTCGGCAAAGTAAAGACGTAGTGAAGTAGCTATGAAATCGCAGTGAACCTCACTGGTATATATATTTATTTATTTTATTAGCTAGAACACTCTCTTAGTAGTTATTAATAAAGTAGTTATACTATAATGTCTATGCGTTTATTGCTACTAGTTCCGTAATACGCGTATTACTAGTGACTCGCATTGCATAGCCTATGATAACCTAATCGCGCTACTTAGAACAACACTCTGATTGGTTTAACTCCTAGCCTACCCTAGACCTCCGTCTAGTGTAAATTACCTACCCGTCATAGCTACCTATAATTTATAAAATATCTAGCTATTATAAGTTAAGATGATTTTAAGGTCTATTGATTTTTTTATAATTAACAAAGGCCCAGATACTAACTATCACGACCTAGCATATCTAGTCGTCACGTAGCTAGGACCAAGGCCTACTGCGTGGACTAATTACTAGAGGATCACGCTTGGATTATGCTAAGGCGTGATGATCCCTTAGCGATCCCCGATAGGATCATAGACGGATTATAATTGAAACCCATTGAGCTAATATGATCTAACTAAAACATCTTTATATATAGAATACGCTTATTATACTCTCTTATATATTAGCTACCTTAGCTATTAATATAACTTAGTTATACTTAATACCTTAAGCATATTACTAGACGTGACTTATATTACCTACTTAAGGCTACGTAATATAATCTAGTGCCAACATAAACCAGTATGACTAGTTTATCCCTTGGAAATCCCACGATCGTCATACTAATATATAGCTTACTTAAAGGCCGCAGCCTATGTTATCTATACCTATAGGTTATAATTAGTTAATCCCTTTAAAGATGTATAGATTTCATTTAAGATTAACTTACTAATAATGTATATCGAATGGACTTTAAATCCAGTGTTGATATTAATATATGCCTTGTTGTTTGTATAGAACTAGGTAGATTAACCATAGCATCTATCACTAGAATAATAAAAACCTTTGATATTATCGCTATTAATGTACTAGGAATAGCGATTATCGACCTTCTGGCAGCTACTATTAGGGGCGATGCCCACTTTACTTCCTGCCGCGCTATCGCAGGAACTACCATTAAAGGCTTAGAAGGTTATCGCAGATGCGATAGAAGCAAGGATAGCTAAAGATTGGATGAATAATATATTGAAAAATAAAATATAGGTCAATATAGTAGTAAATGATATATAGAAAGTATTAATTATAACTATATAAATATTAAGGAGTAAGAGAAGAGGTAGATGTATTTATACTTATTGGCTAGTCTATACCTCGCGATGTGCCTTGTGTGCGAAATGATGCGGTTAGTTAAAATTGCCGTTTTAAGTTTCGCGGTTAGCATACTAGCCTATTCTAGACTTAGTGCTAAAATCTTAAGCTAATTAGAATTTAGCGGTCACATACTAATTTTATTTGGTTTTGGCGGTCACGTACTAGCCTAATTAGGATTTCGCGGTTAACTTAGGGGCAAGCTTATCTATCGCACTTTTATGTGCTAAAGGGCCTGAAAGTTAGGCCATAACGAATGAGTAGCGGCAGTGAGTTAATTGATTCTAGCTTCTATGTGGGGTAATTTATCCCATATATTCTACTTAAAGTACCTAGCTTGATGACTAAGGGTTATTGCTCCTAAGGCTCGTTGAGACTATACTTAGCCTGCGACACTTGCCCTCTCGCGCCGGTAAGACGCAGTTATTATCAGTTAGTAAGAAATAGCTTGCCCTTTTAAGATATATTCTGCCCCCCTAGCTATACCTGATATAACCGCTGATTGAATCATTGCATCGAATTAACCGCTAGAAGGATTAATTCAAGGCACATTGTCCGAGGGACTCATTGCTAACTTCCTCTTTCGAACAGCTGCCCTCCCTGTATTATACCTAAAAAGGCAAAAGGTCGCGATGTTGCGTCCCCTCTCATAGCCCTAGATCGACGCTTATCCCTGCTATATATTAACTCTTGCCGCCTACCTCTTCGCAATTTTTTCCTTCTCTATAGCGGAATCACAATTGGAGGCCTTGAATTAACCCCATCACTTATCACCCGCTAACTCTCTTAAGCCTTAATATGCTTTGTCTATCGGAATAAATGACTTTATCTAGTAGAAACTTGGCCTAACTTAGGACCAATCTCAAGGCAAAGCTAGGCAGTCTAACCCGGGCCACACTTTTCTTACAAGTCGCTACTATGCCTCTACAGGTGTATTGCTGCGCTCGTCGGCGAGTATTAGTCGCTACTATGCCTCTATAGGTATATTGCTGCGCTCGTCGGCGAGCATTAGTCGCTACTATGCCTCTATAGGTGTATTGCTGCGCTCGTCGGCGAGCATTAGTCGCTACTATGCCTCTATAGGTGTATTGCTGCGCTCGTCGGCGAGTATTAGTCGCTACTATGCCTCTATAGGTGTATTGCTGCGCTCGTCGGCGAGCATTAGTCGCTACTATGCCTCTATAGGTGTATTGCTGCGCTCGTCGGCGAGCATTAGTCGCTACTATGCCTCTATAGGTATATTGCTGCGCTCGTCGGCGAGCATCAGTCGCTACTATGCCTCTATAGGTGTATTGCTGCGCTCGTCGGCGAGCATCAGTCGCTACTATGCCTCTACAGGTGTATTGCTGCGCTCGTCGGCGAGCATCAGTCGCTACTATGCCTCTACAGGTGTATTGCTGCGCTCGTCGGCGAGCATCAGTCGCTACTATGCCTTTATAGGTATATTGCTGCGCTCGTCGGCGAGCATCAGTCGCTACTATGCCTCTACAGGTGTATTGCTGCGCTCGTCGGCGAGCATCAGTCGCTACTATGCCTCTACAGGTGTATTGCTGCGCTCGTCGGCGAGCATCAGTCGCTACTATGCCTCTACAGGTGTATTGCTGCGCTCGTCGGCGAGCATCAGTCGCTACTATGCCTCTATAGGTATATTGCTGCGCTCGTCGGCGAGCATTAGTCGCTACTATGCCTCTATAGGTGTATTGCTGCGCTCGTCGGCGAGCATCAGTCGCTACTATGCCTCTACAGGTGTATTGCTGCGCTCGTCGGCGAGCATCAGTCGCTACTATGCCTCTATAGGTATATTGCTGCGCTCGTCGGCGAGCATCAGTCATCAATAATATAGGGTTAGAACAGAGTAACTATTAACTATCTAAGCTATTTTGCCCTAGGGGTTTCTTCTAGCTAAGATATAGCTTATAGATAAAAGAGGGGAGATTTTTCTAAGAAATAATAAAGGAAAAGCATAAGAGATATAACTAGGAAAGAGGTATAGCTAAGAAAGAGATATAGCTAGGGGAGGGATATAGCTAGGGGAGAGATATAGCTAGGAAAAAGAGATATAACTAAGAGAGAGAGGTATAGCTAGTAAGAAAAAGGCAAAGAGATAAGAGATAAGAGGTAAAAAGTAAGGGATAAAGGATAAAGAGAAACCTTAAGAAGCCCTAGAGGTATTCCAGATCGACCTAGCTAGGTTACTAGGGGTATCTCGGGCTATAGAAGCCGCAGAGGTCGCACTAGTCCTCATAAGGGCAAGGCTAATAGAGGAGTCTAGCTGGTTAGCCGCAAAGGGGCCAATAAGGTCCTGGAGCTTCTGATAGGTCTTAGCTGTCTCTAGGTCCATAAGGCCGCCTGCTGAGATGATAAGAGGCTGAAAAAAGGCTCCGAGAGACCTATATTTTCTGCGTTTTTCTTCTGCGGCCTCTCTAAGGGTACTATAAGGGTCTTCTTTAGCAGAATCCTTTGAAATAGCTACGATTTGAATATCATAGTAATAGCGGCTATTTCCTAGGTTAACTGCAAAGTCGGCCCTTAGGCTAGCTTCTGGGTGGACTAGGGGTTCTTTTTCGACCTCTAGGGTAGGCTGGCTACTTAGGGCCCTTATAAAGGCCCTAGTTATAGCGTCATGCCTTGCAATCCACCTTCTATTAGCACCCTTGCAGGTATCCTGATGGCCTAAGGCAGCTATAGCTCCGCAAGAGCTACAGGGTAGGCTGATAGGCTTAATTGGGTAAAAGAGCCGGCTTCGGAGGGCTTCAGTGACCTCGGAGTCTGTGAAAGATAGGGCTTTTTGGGTAGGTAAGACTCCTAGCTACTTACGGCCGAGATAGCTAGCGTTCTCTAGCCTAGCGTGCCTATAGCTAGGGGGGAGGTCCTCTAAGAAGCCTGCTAGCCTAGCCTTATTAGCTTCCTTTAGCACCTGTTGGGCTGTTTTCCCTAGCCTAGGCTGGCCTTGGTTAGGCTGGCTTTGGTCTAGGGTAGGCTGCGGGGCTAGGGGCTTCCGGATGAGGTCTAGGGTAGGCTGCGAGGCCTCCCAAGCTGCTAGGAATAGCTCGTGGGCTAGGTCCTTAGGGTTAGAACAGAGTAACTATTAACTATCTAAGCTATTTTGCCCTAGGGGTTTCTTCTAGCTAAGATATAGCTTATAGATAAAAGAGGGGAGATTTTTCTAAGAAATAATAAAAGAAAAAGCATAAGAGATATAACTAGGAAAGAGGTATAGCTAAGAAAGAGATAAGGCTAGGGGAGAGATATAGCTAGGAAAAAGAGAAATAACTAAAAGAGAGAGGTATAGCTAGTAAGAAAAAGGCAAAGAGATAAGAGATAAGAGATAAAAGGTAAAGGATAAAGAAAAGCCTTAAGAAGCCCTAGGGGTATTCCAGATCGACCTAGCTAGGTTACTAGGGGTATCTCGGGCTATAGAAGCCGCAGAGGTCGCCCTAGTCCTCATCAGGGCAAGGCTAATAGAGGAATCTAGCTGGTTAGCCGCAAGGGGGCCAATAAGGTCCTGGAGCTTCTGATAGGTCTTAGCTGTCTCTAGGTCCATAAGGCCGCCTGCTGAGATAATAAGAGGCTGAAAAAAGGCCCCGAGAGACCTATATTTTCTGCGTTTTTCTTCGGCAGCCTCTCTTAAGGTGCTATAAGGGTCTTCTTTAGCAGAATCCTTTGAAATAGCTACGATTTGAATATCATAGTAATAGCGGCTATTTCCTAGGTTAACTACAAAGTCGGCCCTTAGGCTAC